CGTAGGGGCTGGCGCCTGGTGGGTTGCTAAGCTAGTGTGGCTGTGTGATGCTGCCTTCCCAGCTCCTTCTCGGTGTTCCAGGAAGACTCAGAGTCCTTCTGGAGGGGTGCCAAGAGCTGCCTCATCAGTGGTCCTCACCTCTCACTGATGTGCCTGTGGCTTGATGTTGGATTCTGACGGCTCTGCTTTATACTGGAATCTCTTACATGAGTGAGCACCGTCTCTCCCAGCTCTCCCAGGTCATTGTCTTCCCATCCTCTTCTCATCATCAGACACACGCAGGCAAGTTTGCTATTAAAAATGGCTAGGAGAGGTGAGCTGTAATTGCTGGTGGCTCCTCATTTGGGAGGTGCAGAGGGATCCAGACCTCACGTGGAGAGTGTCGGGATGTGCCTCAGGCTCGCTAGTGAAGAAGAGCCCCAATGTCAGCTCACACAGATCCCACGCTCTTCACTTCCTCTTATTTCAGCTTTTAACTGACAAGCACAATGTCAATGGATGTTTATGTTTTGTTAATTTTTGTTTGTTTGTTTTTTGAGACAGAGTTTCTCTGTGTAGCTTTGTGCCTTTCCTGGAACTCACTCTGTAGTCCAGGCTGGCCTCAAACTCACAGAGATCCGCCTGGCTCTGCCTCCCAAGTGCTGTGTCTGTTTTGAAATGCACATGCCGTGGAAGGACTTGAAAAGCTTCTGAGTTCCACTTCAGAGTCTGTGTCTAAATGAGTCGGCCTGGTATTGGTAGTTTGGCCCTTTTCACCCAGCACAGTGTCCTCCAGGTTCGTTTATTCTGTTGTAAATGATGGATTTCCTCCTTTCTCTGGGCTGAATAGCATTCCACTTTCTTTTCCTGATCACTGTTAATGGAGCCTCCTGTTGGTTCTGTGCCTTGGCTTCTGTAGTGTGGCACCAAGCATGGAGTGCATGTGTCTCTCCTGCACTCCCAGTTCACTGCTCTGGATAGATGCTCATGCATAGCAAGCAGTGGGGTTGCTGAGTCCTGGGGAATTCTTCATTATTTCTAGTCCATCCGGCTGTGCGAGCTTGCACCCCACCAGCGGTGTCCTTCACCGCCCTTACCACATAGGTTTGGGTTTGCACTTTCTTAATAATTAGCGACATCGAACAGGCTTTTTCCCTTACCTGTGGACCATCGGTACGTCTTGTATAGAATATCTTTACGGAGTTGGGAATAGCCTGTTTCCCAGTTCTTGGGAAGTAGAAGCAGAATGACCAAGAGTCCAGGGCCGTTCTGGGCTGCGTGAGGCCCTGGCACAATGGTGAAGATGTGTTTTTGTGTCCTTTGTCCATCTTTAACTGCGTTTGTTCTCTGGCACTCCGTTGAGTCCGTGTGTGTCTCAGATGTTAGCTTCTTCTCAGGCCCATGACTGACAGGTGTTTCTCGCATCCCTTAGGCTCTTTCTCTGCTGCTTGTCTCCGTGGCTGCTCAGTCGGCTCTTCCAGAACACTTCCTCCCTCCTCAGGGTTCTGAGTCAGTACCGGGGCTTCCTGGAGAGGCCCGCCACACACTCAGCCCCTCGTAGGAACACCTTGGTGCCTTTGTTTCCCTGTATCGGTTCTTCCATGTGAAAGCCGTTGCCGTGAGAGCACGTGGCTGCCCACGTTCTGACCGCCGTGGCACGACACCGCGTCCACGTGGAAGTGTCGGGCACCCTTTGCCGCGCCCTAAGGCTGCACTGAGCAGCTCTTGGTGAGCACTCTTCTACTTTGACCCGTTTTCAGAGCCTCTGTGTCCTGTGTGTTGTAAAACGGGGCGCTTATGTTTCAGTGAGGTCCTTTCACATGCTGTCAGCACCAAGTCCCGGCATACAAGCCCAGCTTCCCGTTGTTATTGTTAATGGCTGTGTCGTATTTCGTGTTGCGGGTACACCAGCATCCCGACTGCTTGTGCATTGGTGTGCTTGGGCCTCTGCAATCTTGCTCCTCTAGTGAAGTGCTCCTGTGTAAGCATGTGCTTTGTGCACATGCACAAATGTTTCTCTTGGAGAGTCGCCTGGAAGTGAAGGTGCCGGCTCCCAGGGAATGCTATTTTTGGTTTTGATAAACGCTGCCAAATTGTCTTCCCAAGGGGACTGACTAACTTAAACTCGTTCCCGGGGTGTGCTGCTCTCACCAACACGTGGTAACTCCATTCGTTTTGGTTGATCAGCTAGGTAGAAAGTCATACATGATGGGTATACTTTGTATTCTCTTTGGCTGCATCAACGTTCTACCTTTAAGACTGTCTTCTAAAGGGCTGAGGGCTTGGTTCGGATCAGCAAAGTGCCTGGGCATGCACTCACCAGGCGCTGTACTCAGCCCCTAGCACTGAATGACATGCGCACTCACACACAATCCCAGCGGGGAGGATTGATAGGCGGGTCACTGGGCTTGCTGGCCAGCCCTTCTGGTTTAGTTGGTGAACTTCAGATCCTAGTGAGAGACCTTGTCTCCAGAGAAAAAGACAGCGCCCAAGGGAAACGTTGAAGGTTGGCCTCTGTGTCTCCCCTCTACGAATTTCTCAAAAAGCTAAATGTGGTTTGTATAATCCCAGTATTTAGGAGGTTGAGGCAGGGCAATTGTGAGTTTGAGGCCAGCCTGGACTACATAATGAGAACCTGCCACCAACACCCCCCCCCCCAAAAAAAAAAAGAAAGCAAAGGGGGGGAATCTCAATTTTGACAGTTAGGTGGCGAGATCTGTCCTTACTTGCTAGGGCTAAATCAGTCTGCGTGTGAGGTATAAGATTTTTTTTTCCTGTCAGTTCATTAAACTTTGGGGTTGGGGGCGGCTGTGAAGTGTCTCAGCAGGTGGAGTACTTGTCGACAAGCCCAGTGAGTGAGTTTGTCCACCAGGAGGAAGGAGAGAAGCAACATCCAAAAGTTGTCCTCCGACCTCCACAGGTGTGCTGTGGCTCATGTGCCCCAGCCTCCAACGTAATTTAACTTTTTTTTTTTTTAACTTTAAGATGAAGTGAAAAGTGTCTGATGAGTTCTCTGTTTCAGTGTCTTCATGAGCAAACCTGCCGTGTGTGGTTCTGACCGCTGTGACACTGGCTGTGGTCTTTTCCCTGCCTCATTCAGAGCGGGGGAGCTGGATGATGGACTGCTCTGCCTAGGCTGTAGTGATGGCACTTGTTTCTAAGATGTTCCTGGAGTGATCCTGCTTCTATCACCCAGGCTTGAAGGCTCTGTGCCCAGATGGTTCCACTGCTGAGCACTGGTTCCCAAATAAAAAAATCGAATAGGACTGGAGAGATGCTCAGTGGTTAAGAGCATCTGCTCCTGCAGAGGACCTGTGTTCAGTTCCCAGCACACACATGATGTCTCACAGCCATCCATCACTCCAGTTCCAGGGAACCTGATAACTCTCCTCTGACCTCTGCAGGCACCAGGAGTACAGGTGATGCATAGACGTACACACAGGCAAGACACCCATGCACATGCCAACAAATCTAAAACAATTAATGACTTTTTATATGAGTGGACAGCAGCCAAGCTGACTTCCGACCCAAACTGAGCACCAACACTACCACTTACAGTGGCGTTAAGAGGCAGAACCTTTGGGCTGGCCTCACAAACACAGATGTGAAAATTCAAGTACTGTGTTCCAAAGCAGACACCCTGCACAGTAGGTCCCAGCCGGGCTCTCACAGGTGGCAACAGATGAGGTCACTCCAAGAACGCGAGTAGCTTAATATAGTCGCTGAGGCAATAGTGTGCTTGGGTCGTCGGACATGAAAGCCAGTTATTTTTATGGACGCTGAAAATGCATTTTGATTAAACAGCTCTCCCTGATAACATTTTAAAAAGGAAAGGGCGGGATGTAGCTCCCTGACAGAATGATTGCCTGGCAGCTTGAGTGAGGCCCTGGGCTTGATCCCCAAAACCATAAAAAAACCGAAACGTTAGAGGAGTGCTTCCAACCTCCAGTGCTGGCGGGATTAGAAACAAGCGAGGGCTTGACTCTTGAGGCTGTGGCCTGTGCAGGGAGATGGGAGACAAGTCGGAATTAGGGCTTTGGGGGTTGACGGAGGTGACATTGCTTTCCTCTACAGTGTTTCTCGTGGAGGTGAGACCTTCAGGCTGTAGATTCTGTCAGTGGGAGTACAGACATCCACAGATAAGATGGAGTAGTTTATCCGTCCACAGGAGGTTAACTCCAGGAACCCCTGTGTAAAACGGTGTGTATCCGCCTGGTGTTCTCCACATGCACACTCCCACGTGCTTGCAGCCACCTCCTGATTGCCCCTGACTACCACATCGTGACTGCTATGCATAGCTTTTCTTTTCTTTCGCTCTGTTTGAGACAGGGTATCTCTGTGTAGCTCTGGATGTCCAGGAAATCACTATATAGACCAGGCTGGCCTCAAAAACACAGAGATCAACTTGCCTCTGGAATGCTGGGATCCGAGGCATGGGCCACCACACCCAGCCTTATGCAAACAGGTTTTAGACTGTGTTGTTTGGGTTATAATGATAAAGGAAGCTGTGTGTGTTTGGTAGAGGTGCATTTTTAATGCCCATTTCAACCCATAGTTGAATCTGTGAATTCAGAATCTCCTGTCCCCCTCAGCCAGCTGTCTTTTTGAAGGAAGGGGACACAGTCTGGTTTGTGTCTCAACTCATGTATCCTGATGCATATTTGACACTGTCGGGTGCTACCTTGGTCTGTGATCTGTGTTGAAGTAGTTCCTGGCTTCACTCACCAGAACAGGGTGATGCTCAGCACCCATGTCTAGCTGGGTGGTTTGGTTTTGTGCTCTTTGGGTGACATCTCTGTGAGCTGGGAGTCCTAAGATCAAAACTGAGTAAGTGATGCAGCCCAGGTAAACTGGTCCTTGGGTTGACACTGTGGCCTTGTCATTAAGTTCCTTGCTCAGTAGGCCACTCTAGGTACTAGGCACCACTGTCCAAAGTCTGTGGAAGCTTCTGGTTTGATTATCTACTACCCCAGTACCCAGGTGTCTCTTCAGCCTTTGAAATCTCTCTTTTTTCTTACCAGCATGTGGAGAGGGCCAAACGTGAACTGCGTCGATAGCACCGGCTACACTCCCCTACACCACGCTGCTCTGAATGGCCACAGGTGAGTGCCAGGGCCCTCCCTGCCCAGCCTGCCCCACCCGAGAAAGATCTTTAGACAGAAGTGAATTTCACCTTTTCTCCTGATGATCCCTTCCTGTCTGGAGTGATCCAGCATCATACGATGGTGGTAACTGTGAAGACCAGACTCGGGGCAGCCAGATCATAAAGATCCTGGCCCACAGGTGTCTGTCCCTGATGAACACAGATGGGGCAGAAGGGGGGGTGGTGGTGATGAGAGGCTGGCTTTCTGTCCGCATAGCCGGCACTCTTCCCCCGTAAGAGCAGCCTTGTGAACACCGTGAACCATCCCTAAAAGAGACAGAAAAGACCTGTGTGGTCCACTTAACCCTCGTAAGTCTAGGGAGGTTATTAGAAGGTGAGTGTGGAAAGTTTTCTGGAGACGATGAACTCAGGGGAGTTGCGAGTCATCAGTGGACAGCATCAGAGGCTCGGTGCAACACAGGTGCCGTCATGGGTGTGGGGAGAGTTTGCTCAGCTGTGGAAGAACAGAAACGACCGGGAAGGAGAGATGGTGTCGGGAGTCGGAAGCAAAGTCCTAGGAAGAGGAGGAGCTGTGTGGGGGTAGTTCTGGGGAGCAGGGACCAGGGCTCCCCGATGTTTTCCTGCCCTTTCTCTTTGGTGCTGACCTCATGCTTTGCCACTAACCCATACCCTCAGCCCTCAGTTTACACAAGCACGGAACAGACCACACACTCCGCAGGTTCTGTCCCTTGTCCAGTGTGTGGCCACTTGATGGTTTGCTGCAGTACCGAACTCTTCTCAAGCTGAGTGTGGATACCGTTTCTTTTCTAAAACGACTTTAAAGCTAAAATCCGGGGCCGGCGCAATGGTTCCGAGGGTAAAGCCCATGATGCATGCCCAGTGACCCGACTTTTATCCCTGGGACCCACATGGTACACGTGGAGAATTGACTCCCTCCGTACGTGCTCCATGGCACGTGGTGTATCCACAAAGAAAGCAGAAAGAGATTGGGACCCTCTCCAGTGGGAAAGTCCGAGTTCAGGTGACTCCTCAACTCAAAGGTGGCAGTTTGCTAGCCAGGTTCCTCTCCAGAGCCTGTTTGTGTTCACAGGGAGGATTTTCTTTGACCTTGTGTGTCTGGGGATAATTACACATTTGAATCTGCTTCATTAGCAATGTCACCTAGAAGAAAGCCAGAGTCTTCTTTTTGGAGCTCTGAGACGATGCTCTGTGCATCTGCCTTGTGTCTGTGGCCTTGATTTTGCTCCGTCCCTTCAGCTCCCACATCCCCAAGGCACTGGAACAGGTGGTGAGGATGTCGCTTCGCCCTGCCTGCCTGCCTTTGTGTAAACGCTGAATGCTGTTTAAACATCACAAACTAGGGAACGCTGCAAGGTTCCACACGGAGTCCAGGCAGTTCCAAAGCAGTGGGAAATAGATGGGCTATCCAGAAAGGCTCACGGCAGGTTAGTCATTGTTCACGTGAGTCAGCCACCTAAAGCCACATCACTGGCTGTGGGGCTCTAGAAGAAGATCTGGCAGTGAGCTCAGAGGAGGAGGTGAGCTGCATGGAGAGGTGATGTCAGAGAGGACTCTGCAGTACACCCCTGGAAAGACCTCTGGTTCTGTAAGCTCATGCTGATTTTTTGCTTTCTAGGGATGTGGTCGAGGTTCTTCTGAGGAATGATGCACTGACCAATGTTGCTGACTCGAAAGGCTGCTACCCACTGCACTTGGCAGCATGGAAAGGAGACGCCCAGATAGTGCGCTTGCTCATCCACCAAGGGCCCTCGCACACCAGAGTCAATGAACAGGTCGGGAGAGAGACTGTCCTCCTCCCTCAGCTGTGGCCAGACTGTGCCTTACTCAGTCCCGGGGCATATATAGCTCAGGACATAGTTCCTCCATTCCCTAGGCATGACCCCCTCATTGCGAGTAGTGGGGAGATTGTGTTCTGGAGGATGCATTTTTGTTTTGTTTTGTTTTTCAAGACAGGGTTTCTCTGTGTGGTCCTGGCTGTCCTGGAACTTGATCTGTAGACTCATGCTGTCCTTGAATTTAGAGATCCACTGGGATCAAAAGCATGCACCACCATGCCAGGCCTGGAGGATACATTTTATATGCAGTTGAACTGGATTTGCATGCAGATTTGAACTAGAATTTTACACGTGCACAGATACATACATGCACAGTCTCACAGTATCCATCCAATTTGATGCAAATCTTTTAAAATGCTGTAGTTTCAAACTCAAGGGATTACATAATTACAATTTGTGCTTATGCCATCAACATGCAGCACAATATTCCTGGTGTTTGTCAGTGCCTTGTGAGCTGTCTTATTATTTTACATACATCAGAATGTGCAGAAGTAAAAGTATGTGTGCTAGTACTGAAAAAATGAGCTCACAACTCAAAACCATGGAGATGCAGGGCAGAGGTGATCCAGCGGCACGAAGATCATTTTCATGATGTCCTCTGAGGCTGCCTTAAGAGTGAGCATACTTTGAAAAAACAGCTATTAGAAAGGAAAACTACCCAGCTAGATTTGTTAACACATGCCTGTAATCTCAGCACTTGGAAAGTGCAGACCGAAGGATCAAGTATTTCAAGGTCATCTTTGACTACATAGTTAGAGGACAGCCTGGGCTACATGAGACCTTGCCTTGGGAAGGCAGAGAAGGAGGGAGGGAGGAAGGGAGAGGAGGAGGGAGGGGAGGAGGGAAGGAAGGAAGGAAGATTTACCTAAGCTAGCTATGGTGGTTGGTGTACAGCCTGCATCGCCACACTCAGAAGGCTGAGGCGGAAAGTTGGGAAGTTCCAGGTAAGCCTAGACCCCACCATGAGACCCTGATCTGAAAAGAGAGAGCGAACAGAATCAGCGAGACCTCACAAGGCCTCTGCATTGAAGGCTTAGGACAGCGTCTTTGTTCCTTGGAGAGACTTCCTTACGAAGGCTCTGTGACTCCCACCTCTAGCTGGGGTCCCGGGACGCAGGTCCTCTGGGAAGGGGAGGTTTGTCTGTCGGCCCTGCCCCCGCGGTGTGCACTGTGCTGCTCCTTCTCAGGGAGCACAGGGCTGGCTTCCTCGTGGCAGCTCTCAGGAGGTTGTTCAGCTCTCTGGAGTGTCAGCTTCTTCCTCAAAACTTAGGGCGCCATCTGACAAGTCCACTCATCAGCAAGGCCCACACAGGTTTCCACTGAGCTGCCAGAGCGTGGTGGCTTGATTCTGAGAAGGGCAGCTCTGTCTGAGGAGGGAGGGACACTGTCAGAGCTCCGGGTGCCTCCATTTGGAGACGGTGTTGGTAGCTGTCTGTCAGCTGCCATTCCCTCACGGGCAGGCAGGCGGGGCTGCCAGGTAGGTAAGCAGCAGAGACGCAGACACAGATGCCTGTGTCTGCCATGAGGATGACAGTGCGCTTGCCTCTCTAGAACCCAAGTGCAATTCTCCTGACTGAAACGACAGTTTTCTCTCCTCTCGGAAAGAAGTGCACAGAGAAGCTTGCTTATAGCTAACATTCTTCAATGTTGAAAAACTGCCCACCCATTGAAGTCATTCCTTCTCACTTCAGCAATTTTCAGCAATCATTTCTAATCCTGTCTTCGCCCACTTTGCCTTGAAACACAGCTGCTTGGGTTTTTGAGCCACTTGAGTGTGCTAGCTTGTCTTGCTCACGGCTGCCTCCCGCCTAGAGTAGGCAAAGATAGGTGGATGCCAGCCCTGTGCTTGAGTATCGCAGGCAGGGGCTGGGCAGGATGTCCAAAGGAGCTGGAAGAACCGAATGGATCCAGGCAGTTATAGACATGACAGTGATTTTAAAGCCATTAATGCGGCTCCGCTGGGTAAGAGTGAGCACCCCTGGAGCGGCCCCCCTGTAACTCTCTCGGGCCCCCCGAGCTCAGATCTAGGTTGTTTAGCCTTGGGCCCCCGGGGCTACATATTGCTTTGATATATTTCATCCACTTATCATCACATTGTCTTTTCCTCTCCTTTTTATAGAATGCTCTTGAGATCAGAGAACTCAAAAAGTACGGCCCCTTTGACCCTTATATCAATGCCAAGGTGTGTACGTCACGGCCAGGACCCCACATCGTCCTGTGTTTCTCCATGCTGCGCCTCTGTCCGCCTGCCCAGGCTCCTCTTCATCACCCTCCAGCTGCCTGCCTCAGCCCATCTGCTTTTGGCTTGTCTAGGGAAAGCACAGCACAGGGGCCGAGGCTTTATTTTTAAAACCATCCCATCCAGGAGAGGTTGGGAACATCTGAAGCAGCAGGAATAAGAACTAGGACCTCACCGCAAGCCTGCTGCTGTATGCTTGCAACTCGTAAGGTCATGGGAAGTCGGCAGAGAGGCCCATCCAACAAGTCCGCTCGCTTGCCATAAGCACAGAAAATGATTGGAGTGTACTTCTTGAAATGAAAGCTTTTTCCTTTTCATCTGCTCTCGCATTTCTTTTGAAGTCGAATCTGACTTTCTTTCAGGTTTCCGTGGCCACAGTGGTGTGGGGGACATAGGTGACCGCACCTCATTCTTTCAGAAGCTGTTGCTGGCTGCCGCCCTCTCTTCCTGGGGGTGTGCCTTTCTGCATGGCGCTTCCTAGCTCAGTCCAGTCTCTAGCATCACTTCTCTTTCTGCTTCGTCACTGTTGACCCTGAGGGCTCTGAAACTGAGCTTCGGGGCACGGGCCTGGTGACTGGGAGCAGCAGTGGTTTGCTAGACCTACATGACCAGCCACTATCTCACCAGGAGACTTCTCCATAAAGAGACAGAGCTTAGGAGGTGGTGGGTATGGCTTCTTGTTGTCCTCACATGCTAAATTTTTATCGCTGAGTTTTACTCAGATGAATTTTGGGCTGATGCGCACGTACATGCTTTTTCTCCTCTGTCTCTGTCTCTGTCTCTACCCAATCTCTGTCTCTGTCTCTCTGATCCAGCTCCCCATCCTTCTAACCCCCCCACCCCCATGTGAGCGTGTGCATGTGCGTGTGTGTGCGCGCGTGCCCACAGGGTGAAGGCCAGAGGTCAATGTCTTCCTCAGTCACTCTCTACCTTAACTCTTGAGTCAGGTCTCTCACTGAACCTGGAGCTTGCCGATTTGGCTCGATTGGTTGGCAGGGACTTCCCAGGATTCGCCTCCCAGTGCTGGAGTGCTTACTGCCCTGCTTGTGGCGTGGACGCTGGAAAGCCTGCCCGACGGGTGCCCTTGTGTGTGTGGGGTGGGGGCAGCACTCTGTCGACTGTGCTGTCTTCCAGGCTCTAAGTTGCTCTCTGAGCGCAGTCTGGAGTTTGTTCAGATGCTAAATTGTCCTGGTTGGTGCTCTCTGCTTGCTCAGAACGCAACTGTCCTGCTTCCGTGTGTGATGTGACAGGCAGGGGCATCGTCCCTTTCATCAGACACGTCATGGGATGATTTTGTTGAACCATTGCTGGTAGAGAAGCGGTTTGATCTGAGGCAGCCGATACATGCACTCTGTTCTGGTGTATTCTCTGTGTTCTCAGAATCAAATAGGGACCCTTTATTGGAGCAGAGCACTGGAGCGGAGACTTGCCAACCAGGCTTGCTCCCCGAGCCTTGAGTTCTGGACTGCTGACCCGAGGAAATGTGTTTTCTCTGAGCCTCAGTTTCCTCTTTTATAGAATGGGATGTTACTCCCTTCCCTGTTGGGCTGTTTTGGAGTCAGGTTGATAAAGGATCTGGTAACTAACGATATAGGAGATATTCTGAAATCCTGTGCAATCTGTGGGTTTTGTTGTTGTTTATGGAGACAGGTCCTCACTATGGAGTTCTAGCTGTAGACCAGGGTGGCCCTGAACTACAGAGACCCTTTTTCCTCTGCCTCCCAAGTGTTGGGCTTACAGGTATGCGCCACCACGATGCCTCGCTACCTGTGCTGTTCTGAAAAGGCACCATGTGATCTGTTTCCAGTGCTGCTGGGTGATTAGTGAAGCATTGCTCAGTGTGCTCAAGCTTTGGTTTGGTGAGGAGCGGCCTGCGGTAACTGTCTGCACTTGTGATTCAGCTGGCTTCGAGAGCTTGGATTAATGCTGGGCCTTTCGTTCCTGGAAGTGCTTTCCCCAGCATTTGCTTCCGTGGACAGAAAAGAAAATAGGTTGTCAGTCAGTGAACACTCGTGTCTGAAGTGCTGCCCGGTGCCTTTCTCCCTCGGGTGAGCACACAGCACCGAGGGCTGAGTTGGGTTGTGTGTGCTGAGGATGCAGACCCTTCTGGAGCTGACTTGGTTCCACACCCCTCGGTCTTGTCCTGACTTAAGCGGGTTTGACTGGCCTGGCCCATGGCTAGGGATTGCTTTACGAAAGTGTATGTGAATGCTCAATCCTGTCTGGCTCAAGTACAAACGTAGACGTCTCGGGCACCGTTTCAGGAGCTCAAGCTCTCCTGTTCCCTTTCAACACTTCCGTCATCATCATGAGTCAGGAGAAGTGAAGCTGAGCCGTGGCCATGGTGGGACTGTGAGACCCAGGCACCCCTCCTAAGACAGCTTCCCCTTGCCGGGCGTTCTTTCACAAAGCGAGAAGCGTAGGCAGACTCGTTTGGGGTAGATGAGTTTTTCTGACCATTCACGTCCCAGTGCTGGGGGGACCTTGAACCTGACTGACCTGACTGCATCAGGGGCACCAGAAGCTGTCAGGGAGCTCCCCATTGGAAGGACTTCCAGCTAGGGAGGGCTTGGACCAGGCGGGCTCTGGACTGCTTTTGGCGGCGCGGGCGGAGCAGTGACTGTCCCACCCTCTGCCTCTTCTCTGTCCCTCTGCAGTAGTGGCCATCGCTGGTGGTGATGTGTGTGAGATTAAGCTGTTCGAATCTTGGTTCCAAAAACTTAGATTTACTATTAATTGGGATTTAGTATTAATTGGCTTTAGTATTAATTGAGATCTGAGAACAAAGACATTCACTTATAAAGCTGAACATGGTGGGGCACCGCTGTATCCTGGCACTCAGGCTGAGGCAGAAGAATTAAAGTCTGAGGCTAGCCTGGGCTCTGTAGCAAGTGACAGGCCAGCCAGAGAGTATGGTGGGACCTTGTCTGAAAACAGTAAGGAGACCCTGATACAGTCACTGAATTCAGAAAATTCAAAGTTTCCTAATATGTCGCCCATGTTCACATTCTGTTACTTGTCTTCGTGATGTCAATTAGTCAGTCATTTCCTTGTCTTTTCCTTTCCCCTTCCCCTTCCCTCCCTCCCTCCCCTTCTCTCCTCCTCTCTCCCCTCTCTCCCTCCCCTTCTTTCCCCTCCCTCCCTCCCCTTCTCTCCCCTCCCATCTGTCATTCTTACCACCCTTCAGCCATGATGAAGCTGTTACTCTCATGGGTAGGTTCCATCCGGTGCTTGTGTGGGACAGGGTGCCATAGACTTGATACCCTTGTCAGTGTGTCATCAGGTCACAGACTGTCTCCTTAAGGACAGTGGTGTTGCAGGTGCTTTTGCTCCTTAGGGAAATGGGGACTGAAGATGCAGCTCAGGAGAGTCTCACATGCTAGGCAACCACTCTGCCACTGAGTAAAATACCCCCAGCCCTTGTTTTGAGACAAGTTCTGGCCGTAAAGTCCAGGCTGGTCTTGAATTCACGATCCTCCATCCTCCTCCCTTAGTCTCCTGAGTGCTGGGATTATAGGCATGTCCTACATACCAGCAGGATTTTAAATAATAGTTTAGTATGCCCTTCTGCTCTATCAGCTTTCTTGGCCAGGTCTGAGGGTGGGCCAGTGACTGGTTAGTTTTAAGCTCTATGTAGTTCCCAGATGAATCTTGAGATGTGCTCATCTGAACCAGCTTTCCACCTGGAGGGGTCCTTGCTGTTACCTGCACAGATGGTGCTCCATTTTCTTTCCATGTTTTCCCAGTTTCCCAGAATTACCTGCTGCCCAGCAGGTGTCCCTGGGCTGCTGGTTGCAGTTTCTAGCTGGGCTGGCGTGTCTTTCTCCTGTCCACTTTGTCCAAGTTCCATACCACAGGAGGGAGCTGAACTCTCCTTTGCTGTCCTGGGGTCAGTCTTTTCTTTCCCATCTTCTTAATTTTGTACCAGCGGTTTTGCCTTTCTTCCCAGTCAGGTCTCCAGAACCTGCACCACAGTCAGGGACAGCGACAGCTCTGGCTCCTTACACAGACTGTCCACAGGGGACACATGAGCCTGACCATGATGGGATACTCCCCCGTGGACACACTCTGCATGATTTTCTCTGCTCACTTATGAATGTGTAGATCTGTGAATCGCATAGGGGATCCGAAGTTCAGTGGAATCTGCAGAGAGGAGTAGACCCCCATTTTCTTAGACCTACTGACTGTAGCAGGGAAAACTTAATCTCAGGATGAGTGGGGATGGAGGGTTAGTAAAAGGCTTTAGTATCAAGTTCAAGGCTAGCCTGGGCCACGTGACCTTCCCCTCGTTCAGAGTAAGATGATTACCGCAGTGTTGTTCAGAAGGGGTGAAAGGGAAGTGTGCCCCATGACTGCGATCTGTGCTCTCCATGGGATCCCTGCCCCTCTCCAGGGTCCATGAATCAGAGGAATCCTTACCCTGACAGGGCTCAGCTCCAACAAACCAGGAGAGCATGTGGTGGTGGCCAGGGCCCAGCCATGGTGGTGGATCACCACAGACAGGCTCAAGAAAGCTAACCACCAGCCCGTGTCTGGCAAAATCAATACACTCTCGGATGCTTCCACACTGTGCCAGCGAGGTGTGGTTAGATGGTGTTTGCCACCAGGCAGGCAATGTGCCAGAGCTGACCAAGATTGTACCTTAACAGGGCAGCTTTGGGACAGCTGTCTTCATTCTAACAAAAGCCAGAGAAGAACCAATAAACACACCTAAAAAGCGCTGGCTCTGTCTTTCTGCTTCATCGTTTTGGTGGGATACGTTAGGGACTAAACCCAGGGCCAGTGTGCTAAGCATGTGTTCTACCACCAAACCGTATTTCCAGCATGTCTTTATATCTCTCTCTCCCTCTGTCCTACCCCCCCTTCCCTTCCTCCCTTGCTGGATAATTTTGTCGTGTGTGTGTGTGTGTGTGTGTGTGTGTGTGTGTGTGTGTGTGTTTATAGTTTTTCAGTCTCTAAGTCTCTATAATTTTACGAAGTCAAGGACACATAATTCTGGATATTAGGAGGCACCATGGCTATAAGGATTTGATTCAGAGTCACAACAGGTTTTATTGACTGGAGTTTTGTTGAGAATAAGCTGACTTTTTGGCTCTGGTTGGCATGCGGAAGTTGAGGTAGAAAACTCAGAGACTTTTCTTAGACTTCTTTGGGTTGCGCTTTCCAGAAAGCTCCTGTGAGCTCTGTTGAAGTAGATATGTTTTGTCACAAGGAATTGAAGTGACATCCCTGAGTTTGCTCAGGGGCCTTGGGCCCTAGCTTGGTAGGAGTGAGCATGCCCAGTGGCCACAGGGAGCCCCGTGAGTTTGCCTTCCGTCGGCCACTGAAAACTGTCCTGTGGCTGCCTTTGCTGAGCTGTGCCGACACCCTGGCACTGTCGTCTACGTCTTGTTTATTTGTTTTTATCTTCGCATGTGCCCCTGCTGCCACTTAAAACAGCTCTTTGCTGTCACTCTGGCCCCTGGGGCCTTGGTCTCAGCAGCTCTGAATCTTTCTCATCCATTTTTGTGTAGCTGGGAAAAAGAACCAAAACGATGCAGTCAAAAGCAGATGGAATTGATGCATGTTTGGGTAACTCTTCCTCCGTTCACTTTAACGTCACTAACAGAATTAAAACAACGGTAGACGTAGTCAGTGTTTAACTCTTGGCGACTGAAAGGTGCACAGTATTGACTCAAGACAGGCCCTCTCAAGCCTTGTCTCCCCCACAGTAGCAGAAGCTGCCTGGGTAAACTGAGGATTCGGAGACTCGTGAGAGCCTTACTCTCCTCAGTGCTTCTCCGAAAAGAGAGGTTGTGAGAAACCGTCTGCTTCAATTGTGTGTCATCAGTCTCAACGGAGAGCATGATTGACATGACTCACATTTTACTTTTGACAGCTGAAAAAGCACAAAGTTCCCTCATTTTGCTCCAGACTCTCTCCTTGAGACAAAATTGGCAGCCGAGGCCTCAGACTTTGAGTTGAATGGAGGGCGATGTTGCATTGGAATATTCTGCACCTCTCACGCCAAGCATCCCAGAGCCTGTCCCTCTCTTACATGACAAGGCTTCCCCAACGTGCTCACTGTCTTATGCAGTAGAAGCTGCATGCATCGCCCCACGTGCCCTTCTGCAGTAGGCATGAGGGCAGGATAGGGTCCCGAATTCTCTCAGGCCTGAGCCTGTGCCTCCCTCCTCAGAAATGGCTGCCGGCTGCTGCCTTGCGAGTGGTTTGTGGTGCTCTGTTCTGTTACTTTCTCTGCTGGCCGGTTGATGTGCATGCCAGAAGCTACAGATGACAACCTCCTTTTAAAAGGCTGTGTGGAAGGCTGTGGTTGGTGGACAAACCCCGAATCGGAACCACAGGGTTGAACAAAGAAATGCTTGTAAAGCCAGTTGAATTGAATGAAACAATGGCAGTAATATAGTATTCAGACACGCCAGGGCGTCTGCCAAATGTTCCCTCTCCTTCAATATGGAGCTGCGCCCCTGAAGGCACACAGGGACTGCAGATGTTAAGGGGATGCTCCCCTCCTCGGGGGCTGGGGGCAGATGTGGCCAGTGGGAGCAATCAGGCCTGATTGTTGGGGGCGGTGCCCGGATTCCGACTCCTGTAAGTTCCCAAGTATTGCTGCTGTTTTTCTCATTTACATTTCAGTGGTTTTACGGGTGAGGATACAGGCCGACGTTAGTCCCCACCCACCCCTTTCTGATGGGCTGTGCTTGTCCACCCTCAGAACAACGACAACGAGACGGCCCTGCATTGTGCAGCGCAGTACGGCCACACGGAGGTGGTGAAGGCCCTGCTGGAGGAGCTCACAGACCCCACCATGCGCAACAACAAGTTCGAAACCCCCCTGGACTTGGCAGCGCTGTACGGGCGGCTGGAGGTGGTGAAGATGCTGCTGAGCGCGCACCCCAACCTCCTGAGCTGCAGCACGAGGAAGCACACCCCCTTGCACCTGGCAGCGAGGAACGGCCACAAGGCTGTGGTGCAGGTGCTGCTGGACGCCGGCATGGACAGCAACTACCAGGTAGCAAGGCAGGCATCTCGCCTGGCACAGGGACTTAGCTGGCAGAAGAGGCACAAGCACCGTGCTGCTGGGCTGTGTGTGTTTAGCACGTTTCACATCACATTCACGGGCTTCTGTTTGTCACTTGATTCTGCTGTGACATCTTAGAGGCAGATGAGCTCTGCGGAGTGAGTCTAGTGTTTTTGCTTGTTTCTTTTCAGGGTGTGAGATCCGGCCTTTAAACCCTGAAAAGAAGTGCTTGTGGCCATCCCAAAAACAGAAAGGTTCATTATCTTCCCATACGTGCCCCACCACCCAGGGCCATCTTTTTGCACTGCCAAAGCCTCAACTGCCCATGTGCTTTAGCACTCCTCTGTGATGGCAGGCTTCTCTCAGTCTGTACTTCCTCAAGCTTGGCGTTGACTCTCCACGGGGGCCATGAGGGGCTTTTATTCCTCTCCCCAGGGAGGTGGAGCTTGGTCGAGTTTTCGTGGTCAGCATCCCTACAAGCAGTGGGGACTCATGCCTGTGGCCGGCCTGCGATAGCACACAAGGTCTTGCTGTGCGGACCCTGGTGGTGTTAGAACCCACACAAGAAACGGTGGGAAGAGGAGCCCCAGAGGCTCTGTGTAGCTCAGTTGCCAGCCCTCCTCATCCGTGTCCCATTTGTCATGTGACACACCCGACTGTTCTCATGACGTGCCGCTGCGCTCTTGTTTGCCTTCCAGACGGAGATGGGCAGCGCTTTGCATGAGGCTGCTTTGTTTGGCAAGACCGATGTGGTGCAAATTCTGCTGGCTGCAGGTGAGGTCGGCAGCGCTGATCCCATGTGCCAGGCGCTGTCTGAGCCCAGCATATATGTGTGGTTAGAACTGTGTGACTTGGTCCTGGAACACTAGACTGTTGGTGACTGTGGGTGAAGAATGTTGGTTGTGCTGCTTGAGAGCTATGGGCAGCCTTGGGCTTGCCTAAAAATGCTCACTTTCCTGGTCCACCACCTGCTGTCCTTTCCAGGAATCGATGTCAACATAAAGGACAATCGTGGACTGACTGCCCTGGATACTGTGCGGGACCTGCCTTCGCAGAAGAGCCAGCAGATAGCCGCACTGATAGAAGGTGTGGGTCACCGCACGTCCGGGGACCAGGGACGGCTAACCTACAGTGCACTGTGCTTGGGGTAGCCTCTAGTTTTATTTTTTTACCGTCTTCCCTTACAGATCACATGACTGGAAAAAGAAGCGTGAAAGAAGGTGATAAGACCTCCACAGCCCAGCTACCTCTCCTCTCCGGCACAGATGCCATAGCACCAAAGTCTCAGGGTGAGGAAAGTCACAAAGTCACAGCCAGGAAAGAGGTGCAGCCTGAGGAGAGCCAGTCATTCTCAGGCAAAATGGGAAGGTCTTAATTCAAATAATAGTTGCAGGGCATTATTAAGACTTATTCAATTCAATTGTCTCCATGCTATATGAAATTTTAGCAGGCATGACGTAGCTTTTGCTATGGGTATTGTCTGTCCTACTTTTCCCTTTTCATTAAAAAAATTTTTTTTTTTTAAATTAAGCCAGGCATGTGTTTTAACCCCAGCACTTGAAAGACAGAGGCAGGCAGCTCTCTGTGAGTTCCAGACCAGCCTAATCTACGTAGCTAGTTCCAGGCTAGCCAGGGCTACAGAGTAAGACCCTGTCTTTTTAAAAAAAAAAAAA